GACAGTGTAGGAGTGGCAAGTGGACAGTATAGGAGTGGCAAGTGGACATTATAGGAGTTGGCAAGTGGACAGTATAGGAGTGGCGTGTTTGCCAGTATTGGAGTGGCAAGTGGACAGTATAGGAGTGGCAAGTGGACAGTATAGGAGTGGCAAGTGGACAGTATAGGAGTGGCAACGTGGACAGTATAGGAGTGGCCGTGATTTATTGGAACAGTATGGAGTGGCAATTGGACAGTATAGGAGTGGCAAGTGGACAGTATAGGAGTGGCAAGTGGACAGTAAGGAGTGGCATGTGGACAGTATAGGATGGCAACGTGGACAGTATAGGAGTGGCAAGTGGACAGTATAGGAGTGGCAAGTGCGGACAGTATAGGGAGTGCAAGTGGACAGTATAGGAGTGGCAAGTGGGACAGTATAGGAGTGGCAAGTGGACAGTATAGGAGTGGCAATGTGGACAGTATAGGAGTGGCAAGTGGACAGTATAGGAGTGGGCAAGTGGACAGTATAGGAGTGCAATTGGACAGTATAGGAGTGGCAAGTGGACAGTATAGGAGGCAAGTGGACAGCTATAGAGTGGCAAAGTGGACAGTATAGGAGTGGCAAGTGGACAGTATAGGAGTGGCAAGTGGACAGTATAGGAGTGGCGTGTTGCAGTATGGAGTGGCAAGTGGACAGTATAGGAGTGGCAAGTGGACAGTATAGGAGTGGCAAGTGGACAGTATAGGAGGTGGCAAGTTGGACAGTATAGGAGTGGCAAGTGGACAGTATTGGAGTGGCAAGTGGACAGTATAGGAGTGGCAAGTGGACAGTATAGGAGTGGCATGTTTGCAGTATTGGAGTGGCAAGTGGACAGTATAGGAGTGGCAAGTGGACAGTATAGGAGTGGCAAGTGGACAGTATAGGAGTGGCAAGTGGACAGTATAGGAGTGGCAAGTGGACAGTATAGGAGTGGCAAGTGGACATTATAGGAGTGGCAAGTGGACAGTATAGGAGTGGCAAGTGGACAGTATAGGAGTGGCAAGTGGACAGTATAGGAGTGGCAAGTGGACAGTATAGGAGTGGCAATGTGGACAGTATAGGAGTGGCAAGTGGACAGTATTGGAGTGGCAAGTGGACAGTATAGGAGTGGCAAGTGGACAGTATAGGAGTGGCAAGTGGACAGTATAGGAGTGGCAAGTGGACAGTATAGGAGTGGCAAGTGGACAGTATAGGAGTGGCAAGTGGACAGTATAGGAGTGGCATGTGGACAGTATAGGAGTGGCAAGTGGACAGTATAGGAGTGACAATGTGGACAGTATAGGAGTGGCAAGTGGACAGTATAGGAGTGGCAAGTGGACAGTATAGGAGTGGCAAGTGGACAGTATAGGAGTGGCAAGTGGACAGTATAGGAGTGGCAAGTGGACAGTATAGGAGTGGCAAGTGGACAGTATAGGAGTGGCAAGTGGACAGTATAGGAGTGGCAATTGTACAGTATAGGAGTGGCAAGTGGACAGTATAGGAGTGGCAAGTGGACAGTATAGGAGTGGCAAGTGGACAGTATAGGAGTGGCAAGTGGACAGTATTGGAGTGGCATGTGGACAGTATTGGAGTGGCAAGTGGACAGTATAGGAGTGGCAAGTGGACAGTATAGGAGTGGCATGTGGACAGTATAGGAGTGGCAAGTGGACAGCATAGGAGTGGCAAGTGGACAGTATAGGAGTGGCAAGTGGACAGTATAGGAGTGGCATGTGGACAGTATAGGAGTGGCAAGTGGACAGTATAGGAGTGACAAGTGGACAGTATAGGAGTGGCAAGTGGACAGTATAGGAGTGACAAGTGGACAATATAGGTGTGGCAAGTGGACAGTATAGGAGTGGCGTGTTTGCAGTATTGGAGTGGCAAGTGGACAGTATAGGAGTGGCAAGTGGACAGTATAGGAGTGGCAAGTGGACAGTAAAGGAGTGGCAAGTGGACAGTATAGGAGTGGCATGTGGACAGTATAGGAGTGGCAAGTGGACAGTATAGGAGTGGCAAGTGGACAGTATAGGAGTGGCAAGTGGACAGTATAGGAGTGGCAAGTGGACAGTATAGGAGTGGCAAGTGGACAGTATAGGAGTGGCAAGTGGACAGTATAGGAGTGGCAAGTGGACAGTATAGGAGTGGCAAGTGGACAGTATAGGAGTGGCAAGTGGACAGTATAGGAGTGGCAAGTGGACAGTATAGGAGTGGCAAGTGGACAGTATAGGAGTGGCAAGTGGACAGTATAGGAGTGGCAAGTGGACAGTATAGGAGTGGCAAGTGGACAGTATTGGAGTGGCAAGTGGACAGTATAGGAGTGGCAAGTGGACAGTATAGGAGTGGCATGTGGACAGTATAGGAGTGGCAAGTGGACAGTATAGGAGTGGCAAGTGGACAGTATAGGAGTGGCAAGTGGACAGTATTGGAGTGGCAAGTGGACAGTATAGGAGTGGCAAGTGGACAGTATAGGAGTGGCAAGTGGACAGTATAGGAGTGGCAAGTGGACAGTATTGGAGTGGCAAGTGGACAGTATAGGAGTGGCAAGTGGACAGTATAGGAGTGGCAAGTGGACAGTATAGGAGTGGCAAGTGGACAGTATAGGAGTGGCAAGTGGACAGTATAGGAGTGGCAAGTGGACAGTATAGGAGTGGCAAGTGGGACAGTATAGGAGTGGCAAGTGGGACAGTATAGGAGTGGCAAGTGTGACAGTATTGGAGTGGCAAGTGGACAGTATAGGAGTGGCAAGTGGACAGTATAGGAGTGGCAGTGGACAGTATAGGAGTGGCAAGTGGACAGTATAGGAGTGGCAGTGGACAGTATAGGAGTGGCAAGTGGACAGTATAGGAGTGGCAAGTGGACAGTATAGGAGTGGCACGTGGACAGTATAGGAGTGGCAATGTGGACAGTTATAGGAGTGGCAAGTGGACAGTATATGAGTGGCAAGTGGACAGTATTAGGAGTGGCAAGTGGACAGTATAGGAGTGGCAAGTGAGACAGTATAGGAGTGGCAGTGGACAGTATAGGAGTGGCAAGTGGACAGGATAGGAGTGGGCAAGTGGACAGTATAGGAGTGGCAAGTGGACAGTATAGGAGTGGCAAGTGGACAGTATAGGAGTGGCCGTGTTGCAGTATGGGAGTGGCAAGTGGACAGTATAGGCAAGTGGCAGTGGGACTGTGGACAGTATAGGAGTGGCCATGTGGACAGGTATAGGAGTGGCAAGTGGACAGTATTGGCAGTGGCGTGCTTGCCAGTATTGGAGTGGCAAGTGGACAGTATAGGAGTAAGTGGCGTGTTTGCCAGTATAGGAGTGGCAAGTGGACAGTATAGGGAGTGGCGTGTTTGCAGTATTGGAGTGGCAAGTGGACAGTATAGGAGTGGCAAGTGGACAGTATAGGAGTGGCAAGTGGACAGTATAGGAGTGACAAGTGGACAGTATAGGAGTGGCAAGTGGACAGTATAGGAGTGGCAACGTGGACAGTATAGAGTGGCAAGTGGACAGTATAGGAGTGGCAAGTGGACAGTATAGGAGTGGCAAGTGGACAGTATAGGAGTGGCGTGTTTGCAGTATTGGAGTGGCAAGTGGACAGTATAGGAGTGGCATGTGGACAGTATAGGAGTGGCAAGTGGACAGTATAGGAGTGGCAAGTGGACAGTATAGTAGTGGCGTGTTGCAGTATAGGAGTGGCAAGTGGACAGTATAGGAGTGGCATGTGGACAGTATAGGAGTGGCGTGTGGACAGTATAGGAGTGGCAAGTGGACAGTATTGGAGTGGCGTGTTTGCAGTATTGGAGTGGCATGCGGGCAGCACGCGGGGGTCACAACGGGGCGGTGGGGAGAGGTAGCACAGGCGGTGGAACGGGGGATCAGGGTTGCAAAGGCAGGGCCAGCAGAGGCGGAGGGGGAAGTGACGGAGATGGGGTTACGGCAGCCACAAGGGGGATTGTCGGGGAAGCGAGTGCATCGGCGATTGGGTGAAATTGTTCATCATCTACCACGGGTAGGGGCCACTGCTATATAACCACAGCTCTTTCCAGGAGGGGTCCCTGTCAGGTTGTCGTGGGGGGGGGGGGGGGGCGATGATTGCCGCTCGTAGCGCGATCCAAATTGAGTGACGATTCGGCGGCACGCTTATTACGGAATTTGGCACGCGGCAGCCAGCCGCCGCTCTTGCGAACGGCGTCACGGGGATTCTTTTGACGTCACGCCCTCCCGCGGGGGGGGGGGGGGGGTAGGTCGGGGGGGTGATGGGGAACAAACGAACTGGGTAACGGGGGGGGGGGGGGGGTTCATGACTACCGGCGGAACGTCACGGCCACTCGAATAGTCAATGTTGTGAGTTTACTACACTATACACTACACTATACACTACACTATACACCACACTACACTATACACTACTATACACTACACTATACACTACACACTGCACTCTACACTGTACACTACACTGTACACTACACTGTACACTACACTATACACTACACTATACACTACATTATACATACACACCACACTACACTATACACTACTATACACTACACTATACACTACTATACACTACACTATACACTACATTATACATACACACCACACTACACTATACACTACTATACACTACACTATACACTACTATACACTGCACTATACACTGCACTACACACTGCACTATACACTACACGCTATACACTACACTATACACTACACACCACACTACACTACACACTACACTATACACTACTATACACTACACTATACACTACTATACACTACACTATACACTACACTATCCACTGCACTACACACTGCACTACACACTGCACTACAGACTACACTACAGGCTACACTACACACTACACTATACACTACACTAAATTGTAAATGTTGGAGTGGGGCTTGGTGAGTGGCTCGGTGAGTGGGTGGCAGGGGGAGCGTGAGTGAATGCACCCCTCCGGAATGGCGCCTGTTGTTGTTTCTGCTGTTGTTGTTTCTGTTGTTGTTTACCGTCCGGTTGTATTCCTCCACCAGCGTCTTCACCTCATTCTCCACCGCCGCACACTCGTCCTGCAAGGGCAAAGATCCCCCGTGTAGCCTTAACACACTGCTGGGGCAAGTGCTGTCAGCGAGTAGCGTCGCCTATGAAGGCTACCGGCACTGCGGCACACGAGGGAGTTGGGCAAACACGCGTGATGCTGAATCTAAATGTGGAGGGGGAAACCGGGAGGACCCGGAGAAAAATCCGCGCGGACCACGGGGAGAACGCCCCAAATGTAGAGGCATCGTCAGGTAAGCCAACGTCCTCCTGTATACCAGGCGAGGTAGTCAACATCTCATAGCCACCGTGATGATGATGAGAGAGAGAGACACGTGGAAATTCCAATGATACAGGCGTCAGGGTCGGGATCGAACCCACGACCTCCTGTAGACCAGGCGAGGTAGTTAACATCGCCTAGCCACCGTGATGATGAGAGAGAGACGCAGACTCCACAAATATAGCAGCAGGCATCGTCAGGGTCGGGATCGAACCCACGACCTCCTGTAGACCAGGCGAGGTAGTCAACATCTCCTAGCCACCGTGATGATGATGATGAGAGAGAAAGAGACGCGGACTCCACATAAACAGCAGCAGGCATCGTCAGGGTCGGGATCGAACCCACGACCAACCGTACACCACATCACACGCACAAACTCTCCTCCCAAAAGGGAGCCCCTCCACCGCCCCTCCACCGCCGTTCCCACGCCGCCTGCCCACTCACCTGCTGACGCACGTGGACCTGGGTGAGCGCCTGCAGCTGCCCCGAGTAGCCAGGGATCGCTGCACGACAGACGGACACGCACACACAACCACGGGGGTTTTCGCCGGGCACGCACGCACACACACACGCACGGCACACACACGCACACACACACGCACGCACACACACGCACACACGCACACACACACACACACGCACACACACGCACGGCACACGCACACACACGCACGCACGCACGGCACCGATCCTCGCGTTCGGAGCGCGACGACGGGAATTTCTTTCAACCGCCGCGGTGAAGCAGCTTTCACGGTTAATGCACAACCGCAGCAGCAGCAGCTGGAGCAGCAGTAGCAGCTGGAGCAGCAGTAGCAGCTGGAGCAGCAGCAGCAGTAGTAGCAGTAGCAGCAGCAGTAGCAGCAGCAGTAGCAGCAGCTGGAGCAGCAGTAGCAGCAGCAGTAGTAGCAGCAGCTGGAGCAGCAGCAGTAGTAGTAGCAGCAGCAGCAGTAGTAGCAGCAGCAGCAGCTGTAGCAGCAGCTGAAGCAGCAGCAGCAGTAGCAGCAGCTGGAGCAGCAGCAGTAGCAGCAGCTGGAGCAGCAGCAGCAGCTGGAGCAGCAGTAGCAGCAGCAGCTGGAGCAGCAGCAGCTGGAGCAGCAGCTGGAGCAGCAGCAGCAGTAGCAGCAGCTGGAGCAGCAGCAGCAGCTGGAGCAGCAGCTGTAGCAGCAGCAGCTGCAGCAGCAGCAGGAGCAGCAGCAGCAGTAGCTGGAGCAGCAGTAGCAGCAGCAGCTGGAGCAGCTAGTAGCAGCAGTAGTAGTAGCAGCAGCTGCAGCAGCAGTAGCAGCAGCAGCAGCTGGAGCAGCAGTAGCAGCAGCTGGAGCAGCAGTAGCAGCAGCAGTAGCAGCAGTAGCAACAACAGCTGGAGCAGCAGTAGCAGCAGCGGCGGCGGCGGCATTAACCGGGTCACGCCGCTGGGATTCGAACCGTGAGCCACCTTCAGCGAGCGGGGAATCCGCGCTGCCGCTGGTCCGGTGCTGGCGGCCACAACGCCCCCAAGCAAGCGAGCGGCGTGACTCAAACCTCTTCCAATCGAAGGCGTTCTCGCCCTCGTGAACCGCCCAACCTGAAGATTCGGTTCCCTTCTTCACCCGCTTTTATTATTTAACCTCGCCTGCGTTTTTGCCCTGGCCAAATCTTGCAACCACAAGCTGGCCTACTTCCCGTCGTCCAATCAATCCCCAATTCCGTTGCACGCGCACTCAGAACCGGCGGCAATGCATTGCCTGTGCCGACATCGGCATCAATTCACCGATGAACTGCCTCCTTTCAGGCGATCACAATTTCTGCACGGACGGCTCATTCACTACGAGCGGGTGGGTGGCCACCAGCACCCGCGCCCCCCCCGAGCGCCTTCCGTCTCCCCAGCGGCGATGTTTACACACCGCACCGGGTACTCGTTTGAGGCCGAGTCGACCCAGGGGGAGGCCCGGGTTACCGGTTCAGATGACAATCGTCACCGGCGGTGTCGGTGGCCGTGAGCGGGAATCGAACCCGGGTCGCCGGGTTCGTAGCGCGGCGCTAACCCTGCGTGACGCTTCCGCGTGCGAGGGTCACGCAACGGATGCGACGTCAGAGCTTACTTGCCGCGCGAAAAATAAAACGCATCATGTGAGCTCCCCCTCCCCAATATAACGTTTGCATGGTGCACAGTCCTGCATGTCGGGGAGTACGCTCAACGTTTTGAACAGACGCACGCAATCACAGCTTTGCTTGCCTTTTATACGCATGTACGTGGAGGTCGATATATTTGCGCGTAGGTCAAAACCGCTGCGTGTCTCGGGCTCCGCTGAAGTACCTCCCGAGCGCGAGTGAAACAACGTTGTTCATAAAACCGTTCTGTGTGGTTCTATTCGGCGAAGTGACGTAGGTAAAAACAAATAAAAACAACAAAAATCCTCACGACGTTTCGGCCGCAACACAAGCGGCCTTCATCAGGTGAAGGGACCGGACTGTCCGGAGGGCAGCGCTGGAGTGAAACAGAGCCAAGCTCAGACCGCGACCTTTAAAGCTGCGTGAGAGTAATTAAGGTGCTAATTGTTTAAAAAAAAAAAAGACTAAACTTTTTTTTTAAGGGGTTGAATTGTAATTAGAATGAACGAAAAAAAAAAGCGACGTTAATTAATTTTTTGATTTAAAGCTTTCGTGACTGCAGTAATTCATATTTTTAGCTCTTTCGGCAAAGTCACGTTGAAGGGAAACAATAAAATAATAAAATATACATATAAAACAATAAAAATTCTCATCACCTGATGACGACCGTTTGTGTTATGGTCGAAACGTCGTGAGAATTGTTTTATTGTTTTATATATATTTTATTACTTTATTGTTTCCCTTCAACGTGACGTTACCGAAAGAGCTAAAAATATGACGTTAATGAATTTAATGGTCTCCGGGGAGGGGACGCTTCTCCCATCTCAAACCGTTTCCGGATGATTCCGGATGTGAACGCCGTACGGTGAGCGTTTTTGCTGTCGTTTTAAAAAAAAACCTCGCTGGAATCTGAAACATCTCAAGAACAACGAAAGACAGAACCCCATCGACGGTTCCCGCTGTCACTTCAACTGCCGTACAACGCGTTGTTGCAACGTCGAAGGGTTTACCGAGTGACACCAGGCACACAAAACGTGTTCCTCGCGGTAGATATTTGGTCGGCCTCGAAATGAAAGCTAGCCCGGGATTTTCTGATTTTTTTCTCGCTCTCTCTCTCTCTCCCTCTCCGGTTGTTTGTGGCCTAAGAAAGCGAACTGTGTGGCAAAAGTCAGCTCTCCCTACCTCGTCGGGAAGCACCCTCTAGCTAATGCTTAGACACGCAGATTAAGGGCTTCATTGACAACGGAAGATAATGATCACGTGCACGGCGAGCCACCTTGCAGGGACTGGCTCTCCAGCAGAGGAATCAGCTGCTCCACCTCCTCCAGCAGCCCCGCCTGGGTCTTTAACGTCGACTCTCCTGCACGCGCGAGCACACGCGTGCACGCGGACACACACGCACACACACACGCGGACACACACGCACGCGGACACACACGCGGACACACACGCACACACGCACACACACACACGCACAGGCAGGCAGGCACAACAAAGATAAAGATCCCCCATGTAACCATCTTGCCCCAGCCGACATCATTGATATGCGTGCATGTCTCCGTGTGCGTGTCTCCGTGTGCGTGTCTGTGTGTGCGTGTCTGTGTGTGCGTGTCTCCGTGTGCGTGTCTCCGTGTGCGTGTCTCCGTGTGCGTGTCTCCGTGTGTGTGTCTCCGTGTCTCCGTGTGCGCGTCTCCGTGTGCGTGTCTCCGTGTGCGTGTCTGCGTGTCTCCGTGTGCGTGTCTGCGTGTGCGTGTCTCCGTGTGCGTGTCTGCATGTGCGTGTCTCCGTGTGCGTGTCTGCGTGTGCGTGTCTCCGTGTGCGTGTCTGCGTCTGTGTGTGCGTGTCTGCGTGTCCCCGTGTGCGTGTCTCCGTGTGCGTGTCTCCGTGTGCGTGTCTCCGTGTGCGTGTCTGCGTGTGCGTGTCCCCGTGTGCGTGTCTCCGTGTGCGTGTCTGCGTCTGCGTGTCTCCGTGTGCGTGTCTCCGTGTGCGTGTCTCCGTGTGCGTGTCTCCGTGTGCGTGTCTGCGTGTCTCCGTGTGCGTGTCTGCGTGTGCGTGTCTGCGTGTGCATGTCTCCGTGTGCGTGTCTGCGTGTCTGCGTGTGCGTGTCTGCGTGTGCGTGTCTGCGTGTGCGTGTCTCCGTGTGCGTGTCTGCGTGTGCGTGTCTGTGTGTGCGTGTCTCCGTGTGCGTGTCTGCGTGTCTCCGTGTGCGTGTCTCCGTGTGCGTGTCTCCGTGTGCGTGTCTGCGTGTGCGTGTCTGCGTGTCTCCACGTGTGCGTGTCTCCACGTGTGCGTGTCTGCGTGTGCGTCTCCGTGTGCGTGTCTCTGTGTGCGTGTCTGCGTGTGCGTGTCTCCGTGTGCGTGTCTGCGTGTCTCCGTGTGCGTGTCTCCGTGTGCGTGTCTCCGTGTGCATGTCTCCGTGTGCGTGTCTCCGCGTGTGCGTGTCTGCGTGTGCGTGTCTGCGTGTGCGTGTCTCTGTGTGCGTGTCTCCACGTGTGCGTGTCTGCGTGTCTCCGTGTGCGTGTCTGCGTGTCTCCGTGTGCATGTCTCTGTGTGCGTGTCTCCGTGTGCGTGTCTCCGTGTGCGTGTCTGCGTGTCTCCACATGCGTGTCTCCGTGTGCGTGTCTCCACGTGTGCGTGTCTCCACGTGTGCGTGTCTCCACGTGTGCGTGTCTCCACGTGTGCGTGTCTCCACGTGTGCGTGTCTGCGTGTCTCCGTGTGCGTGTCTCCGTGTGCGTGTCTGCGTGTCTCCGTGTGCGTGTCTCCGTGTGCGTGTCTGCGTGTCTCCATGTGCGTGTCTGTGTGTGCGTGTCTGCGTGTCTCCACGTGTGCGTGTCTGCGTGTCTCCACGTGTCTGCGTGTCTCCGCAAGTGTGGCACCCGAGAAGACGATCTGGAGTTTGACGGAGTCAGGAACCGCAGGAGACGGGGACTGCCCAGGCTCCAGCACCCGCAGCAACTCATCCACTGACACACACGTGACACACACGTGACACACACGTGACGCACACGTGACACACACGTGACACACACACGTGACGCACACGTGACGCACACGTGACACACACGTGACACACACACGGAAAGCATGGCACACAACGCATGTAAATGTCACACGTGGCGGCAAGCATGACACACACACGTGACACACACGTGACACACACACACGTGACACACACGTGACACACACGTGATGCACACACGGAAAGCATGGCACACAACGCATGTAAATGTCACACGTGGCGGCAAGCATGACACACACACACACGTGACACACACACACACGTGACACACACACGTGACACACACACACACGTTACACACACACAGCAAGCATGACACACACGTGACACACACACGGCAAGTATGACACACACACACGTGACACACACACACGTGACATACACACGGCAAGTATGACACACACACACACGTTACACACACACACACGTGACACACACAAGGCAAGAATAACACGCACAAGATAGACGCGGCAAGTATGACACACACACACACGTGACACACACACACAGCAAGTATGACACACACACACGTGACATACACACGGCAAGTATGACACACACACGTTACACACACAGCAAGTGTGACACACACACACACACACGTTACACACACACACACAGCAAGTATGACACACACACACGCTACACACACACACGGCAAGCATGACACACACACGTTACACACACACGGCAAGTATGACACACACACACGTTACACACACACGGCAAGTATGACACACACACATCACACACACATTACACACACACACCCACACAGCAAGTATGACACACACACACGTTACACACACACGGCAAGTATGACACACACACATCACACACACATTACACACACACACCCACACAGCAAGTATGACACACACACACGTTACACACACACGGCAAGTATGACACACACACATCACACACACGTTACACACACACACACACAGCAAGTATGACACACACACGTTACACACACACGTGACACACACACACGGCAAGAATAACACGCACAAGATAGACGCGGCAAGTATGACACACACACACGTCACACACACACACACACAACAAGCATGCCACACACAAACGTTACACACTTACACACACAGCAAGTATGACACACACACACGTTACACACACGTTACACACAGCAAGCATGACACACACACACATCACACACATGTTACACACACGTTACACACAGCAAGCATGACACACACATACGTTACACACACACACACACAGCAAGTATGACACACACACACGTTACACACACACACACAGCAAGTATGACACACACACGTTACACACACACACAGCAAGCATGACACACACACGCACACACGTTACACACACACACGTTACACACACATACACACGGCAAGCATGCCACACACACGTTACACACACACACATGACACACACACGGCAAGTATGACACACACACATTACACACACACACGGCAAGCATGACACACACACACGTTACACACACACACACAGCAAGTATGACACACATGTTACACACACACACAGCAAGAATGACACACAAACGACACGCACAAGACAGACACGTCAAGCATGACACACACACACGTTACACACACACAAGCATGCCACACACACACACGTTACACACACACACACGTTACACACACACACGTTACACACACACACAGCAAGTATGACACACACACACGTTACACACACACACATTACACACACACACAGCAAGTATGACACACACACACGTTACACACACACAGCAAGCATGACACACACACACACGTTACACACACACACAGCAAGCATGACACACACGTTACACACACACACACGTTACACACACACACATACGTTACATACACACACACACACGTTACACACACACACGTTACACACACACACGTCACACACACACACGGCAAGCATGACACACACACACACGTTACACACACGTTACACACACACGTTACACACACACGTTACACACACACACACGTTACACACACACACACGTTACACACACACACACGTTACACACACACACACACACGTTCCACACACACGGACACACGTTACACACACACACACGTTCCACACACACACACACACACGTTACACACACACACACACGTTACACACACACACACGTTACACACACACACACGTTACACACACACACGTTACACACACACACACGTTACACACACACACACACGTTACACACACACACGCACACAACAAGAGCGGTGCGATGAAAGGCAGGCGCGCGTGCACGTGCGCGGGGTTGATGCCCGGGCTTCGAACCCAGCATTTAAGCGGTTCCCCTCCTCCGACGCGGCCATCCTTACAAACCTCCCCCACCGCCCCCTCCCCAGCGGCGTCCCTCACGTTTCTTGAAGAGGGCCCTCACACGCTCCCTCTTGCCCGCCGCCGCGTCCAACGTCGCCTGAATCTTCGTCAGGGCATCGATGCACTGCGCATAGAAAGGGGGGGAGGAGGAGGAGGAGGAGGGACAAAAACACCGCCGTTCGTGCCCCCCCGCGACGTGAACGGTGGGCGCGAGCACGACCCCCTCTCGCGACGGACCGAGCCGGTGACGTCTGCGTGCTCCGCCCCGGCCCGCTGGAGGCCCCGGGCCGCCCAACGAGCGGCTCAAGACGTGAGGGCCGCTAGCGCCGACAGGCAGGCTGAACCCGGCCGCGCCGACCCGCTCCTCCACGCGCATAGCCGCGCGAGCGCCCAAACGGTGCCCGGATTATCCCCCGGTGGCTACCGATGCCCCAGCGGGGGTCTGGGATGCTACTTGCCGCCAATAAACCGCGGCTTGAATCGCGGGCAAATGAGATCTTCTCTCAAAACCGCTCTAGGGGAGGAGGAGTTGTACACCACCACCACCACCACCTCCACCACCACCACCACCCCGCCGCCCCGGCTGCCACCGCTATTCATTGGCGTGAAGTCAAATGGAATGTTTCGCCCCGGGTGACCGCTGCAAAGCATCACCTGTGTTTTGATTTTTAGCGCGCAGATTTTCAAGGTGCATTGAAGAATTTGATGCTCCGACTGAATGCTCCTGTTGTTTGTGGAGTTACTCATGCAGCCAGCTATGGCTCTAGGGTTTGGTGTTGCGCGTTGTTTACGTAGTTTACTGTAAAAGAATTCGGTCGCAGTCCCTGCGATCACTGTTACGTTGCAATTATTGCTTTATTTTTTGGGGGGATTTCGAAAACGTTTTTTTTTGGTTTGGACGCGTTTTGTTTTTGTCGTAGTACGGCGTTAAGACTGATGGCCTTAATCTAAGTTTTATTGTGGTTGTTGTGGTTGTTGTTTGACTTTGCATCCCACTGGGATTTTTTGCACACAGTGTTGGTGGTGTACGGTGCTAATATTTTGCTGTTTTTTTCCCCCATGGATTTTCTGTTTGCACAGTCACACACAAAGTCACTTAAAGATGTTTTTCTTGTTCGTGTTTTGTGTTTTTTTGTTTTTTTTGTTGTTGCGGGTGCACCCGATTCAAGAGCGGAATGGCTCACAGGGCTATGCCAAAATAAATAAACGGAAAAAAAATAAACACAAAGTAGCTATAATCTTAGTTCTTTCGGTAAAGTCACGTTGAAGGGAAACAATAAAATAATAAAATATATAAAACAATACAAAATTCTCACGACGTTTCGACCATAACACAAACGGTCGTCATCAGGTGTGTCGGTTTGCATTAATGTATTTATTTTTAAACGGTGTTTTATTTATTTATAAAAAACGTCAGCGACGCGCGCAGCGATTTGGCAGTTTATTTAGAAGGACGAGTCCATCTATGTTCTGAAAAGAGGAGGGGGGAGACATAGATGGACTCGTCCTTCTAAATAAACTGCCAAATCGCTGCGCGTGGCGCTGACGGTTCTCATAAATAAATAAACACACCGTTTAAAAATAAATAAATGTATGCAAACCGACACACCTGATGACGACCGTTTGTGTTATTTGCGAAACGTCGTGAGAATTTTGTATTGTTTTATATATATTTTATATTATTTTATTGTTTCCCTTCAACGTGACTTTACCGAAAGAACTAAGAATATGAATTACTGCAGTCACGAAAGCTTTAAATCAAAGAAAGTAGCTAGATATGCCAGGAGGCACCACCCCTCCCCACCCCCGCACTTTCAAGGGCCCCGCGCTAAATGCTTTCAACCTATCAATTCCGGTTCATCGACTCTGCACTTGCCCTATTACTGCAGTACTACACTGTGCATTTAACGTTAGCGACTTGTTGTATTATTTGGGCTGTATGGCAAATGAAAAAATACAATTACTTTACCATGCAAGTAAAGAAAAATATGCGCGTGTTTTAATATTGACGTGTTTTTTTTTAATTTGGGGCCCCTTTAAAACAACAGTGTTAAAACAACAATATTGTTTTTTCTACATACGTGACTCTACCGAAAAAAAACAATGAGTAATTTTATGCAGTCACGAAAGCTTTAATACTTTATTAATGTGCTACGGGCCCCGCACGAGCTTCATCCGGCACTGGTGGTGCCCAGGTACCCACAACAACAGACTGCGACCGCCACTAAGTGGCGGTGAAGCCACCACAACGCCTGTACCAGCCTAGGTGCACTCTTGAGGCCACGCAAAGTGTCGAAGGGCTCGCTGCTGGCAGGAGGAGGTCACGGGACAGACCCAGCAAATGCCACAGGTCGGCTGACTAAGATGACCGCTAGATGCACCACCAGCTGTACCTCCCCCCCCCTACTGTGCCAGGCTAGGTGCAGGAGGAGTTCACCGGACAGACCCAGTAGGTGCCATGGGTCGGCTGACTGAGATGACCGGTAGATGCACCACCAGCTGTAACCCCTACTGTGCCAGGCTAGGTGCAGCAGCAGGTCACGGGGCAGACCCAGCAGGTGCCATGGGTCGTCCGACTGAGATGACCGGTAGATGCACCACCAGCTGTACCCCCCCTACTGTGCCAGGCTAGGTGCAGGATGGAGGTCACGGGACAGACCCAGCAGGTGCCATGGGTTGGCTGACTGAGATGACCGGTAGATGCACCACCAGCTATACCCCCTACTGTGCCAACTCGCTGCGTTTTAGCCGCCCGGTGCTCTGCTCGTTGTTGTGAGCGTCGCTCCTCTGCCCTCCGCTGTTGTTGCTGGCGGGGCAACTGCATCCCAACTGCCCTGATAGCAGCGTCCTTCATGCAACAGTCACCACCACTATCATCATTACCAAAGGCAAATCTCCCCCGTGTAGCCTCTAACAGACTGTAGGGGCAAGTGCTGTTAGTAGCGAGTAGCAGCAGCACCTGTGAAGGTAGACACAGACAAAGGTCCCCCGTGTAGTCTCTAACAGGCTGTAGGGGCAAGTGCTGTTAGTAGCGAGTAGCAGCAGCACCTGTGAAGGTAGACACAGACAAAGCTCCCCCGTGTAGCCTCTAACAGACTGTAGGGGCAAGTGCTGTGAGTAGCGAGTAGCAGCAGCACCTGTGAAGGTAGACACAAAGCTCCCCCGTGTAGCCTCTAACAGACTGTAGGGGCAAGTGCTGTTAGCGAGCAGCACCTGTGAAGGCTACCGGCACTGTGGCACACGAGGGGGTGGGTTTGCCAGCACCACGCCCGACCGCCTTCGTCTCCCCAGTGACGATGTTTACTACACATCGCACCAGGTACTCATTTGAGGCTGAGTCAACCTAGGGTAGGCCCAGGACCGGTTCAGATAATCGTCACCGGTGGCGTTGGCCGTGAGCAGGAATCAAACTCGGTAAACGCTCGATGTGCAGCGTAGCGCTAACCACTACACTACCACCACCCACTCACATTACCCCTATCAGCAAAGACTCCTGCTGCAATCATGTCGTTACTGATGATGCTATTGATCGTCACAATGCTGTTGATGATGCTATTGATCGTCACAATGCTGTTGATGATGCTATTGATCGTCACAATGCTGTTGATGATGCTACTGATCGTCACAATGCTGTTGATGATGCTATTGATCGTCACAATGCTGTTGATGATGCTACTGATCGTCACAATGCTGTTGATGATGCTATTGATCGTCACAATGCTGTTGATGATCCTACTGATCATCACAATGCTGTTGATGATGCTATTGATCGTCACAATGCTGTTGATGATGCTATTGATCATCACAATGCTGTTGATGATGCTATTGATCATCACAATGCTGTTGATGATGCTATTGATCGTCATAATGCTGTTGATGATGCTATTGATCGTCACAATGCTGTTGATGATGCTACTGATCGTCACAATGCTGTTGATGATGCTACTGATCGTCACAATGCTGTTGATGATGCTATTGATCGTCACAATGCTGTTGATGATGCTATTGATCGTCACAATGCTGTTGATGATGCTATTGATCGTCATAATGCTGTTGATGATGCTATTGATCGTCATAATGCTGTTGATGATGCTATTGATCGTCACAATGCTGTTGATGATGCTACTGATCGTCACAATGCTGTTGATGATGCTATTGATCGTCACAATGCTGTTGATGATGCTATTATCACAATGCTGTTGATGATGCTATTGATCGTCACAATGCTGTTGATGATGCTATTGATTATCACAATGCTGTTGATGATGCTATTGATCATCACAATGCTGTTGATGATGCTATTGATCATCACAATGCTGTTGATGATGCTATTGATCATCACAATGCTGTTGACGATGCTATTGATCATCACAATGCTGTTGATGATGCTATTATCACAATGCTGTTGATGATGCTATTGATCGTCACAATGCTGTTCATGATGCTATTGATCGTCACAATGCTGTTGATGATGCTATTGATTATCACAATGCTATTGATGATGCTATTGATCATCACAATGCTGTTGATGATGCTATTGATCATCACAATGCTGTTGATGATGCTATTGATCATCACAATGCTGTTGACGATGCTATTGATCATCACAATGCTGTTGATGATGCTATTGATCATCACAATGATGTTGATGATGCTATTGATCATCACAATGCTGTTGATGATGCTATTGATCATCACAATGCTGTTGATGATGCTGTTGATCATCACAATGCTGTTGATGATGCTATTAACCGTCACAATGCTGTTGATGATGCTATTGATTGTCACAATGCTGTTGATGATGCTATTGATCGTCACAATGCTGTTGATGATGCTATTGATCATCACAATGCTGTTGATGATGCTATTGATCGTCACAATGCTGTTGATGATGCTATTGATCATCACAATGCTATTAATCATCACAATGCTGTTGATGATGCTATTGATAATCGCAATGCTGTTGATAACGATGCTGTCAAAACAACAAACAGTTCTACGTTTCATATTCCTGGTTCTTTCGGTAATGTCACGTAGAAGGGAAACAATACAAATATAAAACAATAAAATTCTCACGACTGTTGCAGTCGAAACAGTCGTGATAATTTTTTTCGTGAGAATGTTATTTTTTATATTTTTTATTATTTTATTCTTTCCCTGCTACGTGGTGACTTTACCGAAAGAACCAAGAATATGAATCCCTGCAGTCACGAAAGCTTTAAATCAAACGTTCTACGTTTACTTTTTAAGAGACACACCGGGAACCCACCCCTTCCCATATCTGATCTCCCTACAGGGACCGAGGCACCGGGCGCGGCAAAACGAGTCAGGCAAGCGAGTAGGCTCCGAGCCGAGCTAGGCCTCGACCGGGGTTTTAACCCGAAGCCTTTGCTGCTTTGGGCGGGTGGCAGCGGCACCTGGAGGCGTTTGGCGGGCGGCCACCGCAAAGATGCTGTCTAAACAAGAAAGAGTTGTACGTTTATTGGGAAGAAACACCCCCGGAACCGCCCCCCCGCCCCCCCCCCCCATGTCTACCCGATCTACAGGGACCAAGGCACCGGGCGCGGCAAAGCGAGTCAGGCAAGCGAGTAGGCTCCGAGCCGAGCTAGGCCTCGACCGGGGTTTTAACCCGAAGCCTTTGCTGCTTTGGGCGGGTGGCAGCGGCACCTGGAGGCGTTTGGCGGGCGGCCACCGCAGAGATGCTGTCTAAACAATAAAGAGTTGTACGTTTATTGTGAAGAGACACCCCCGGAACCGCCCCCCCATGTCTACCCGATCTACAGGGACCGAGGCACCGGGCGCGGCAGAGCGAGCCAGGCAAGCGAGCAGGCTCCGAGCCGAGCTAGGCCTCGACCGGGGTTTTAACACGAAGCCGGAGCAGCGTTGCGGGGATTGCAGCGGCACCTGGAGGCGTTTGGCGGGCGGGCGGCCACCGCAGAGGGCGCGCTCCAGCGCCTCGATTCTCGCCTCCATCTCGGAGATATCGGCCATGGCGCGCACGAAGACAACACAGACAGACACACAGACAGACACACAGACGCCTCAGGAGCAGGGTGGGGCTTGGGGGGGTGGGAGGGGCTAGGCGGGATGGGAGGAGCTTGGCTGGATGGGGAGGGGCTAAACGGGGTGGGAGGGGAGGGGGCGGGGTGGGGGGGCTAGAAGTGGGGGAGGGGATGGGAGGGGCTGAGCAGAGGGAGGGCGGGGGACTGGACGGGGGAGGGGGCGGGGTGGGGGAGGGGCTGGGCGGGGGGAGGGGCTAAGCGGGGGAGGGGTTGGGCAGGGTGGCAGGGGCTGTGCTGGGCGGGTGTTGGGCGGAGTGGGGAGGGGCTTGGGGCAAGAAGGGGAGGGGCTAGGGAGTAGAGCCGCCATGTTGGTAAGGGGTTAGCGACCATTAGGATTTCTCCCGTAGCCGGCCCCGATTTAAAACAACAACAACAACAACAAAACTCAACGAGTGTGGCTTTGAAAGAACTATACAACGTATAACATTGGCGACGTTTCGGCCAATGGCCCTTTTTTTTAAAAGCACGTATCGGAGCGAGAGTGAGAGGCAGGGGTTGAGCGCGGCCATGTTGGTAAGGGGGGGGGGGTGCTGGACGCTTGTGGCTGAGCCGTAAGAGCCCGGCTATCCGGGGGTGGTGTCGTTACCTCCGAAACATTTGCCGCACGTGGTGATGATTGATGATGATGATCAGGCCACTTTCGCTGTGCTATCATTTGTGGCAAGGTCGCTTCTAATACAGTAAGTTAGCTAAACAAACTTACACTTAAATTTTGATTTAAAGCTTTCGTGACTGCAGGGATTCATAATCTTGGTTCTTTCGGTAAAGTCACCACCACGTTAGAAGGGAAAACAATAAAATAATAAAAATATAAAACCATACAATTCTCACGACGTCTCGACTGCAACACAAGCAATCATCATCAGGTGTGAAAACCACAACAAGAAAATTTGAAAAAAGTGTCCGAAACGTCGTGAGAATTTTATTGTGTTATTTTATTTTATCAATTTATTATTTTATTCTCATTCTACGTGGCGGTGACTTTACCGAAAGAACCAAAGAAGATGAATCCTTGCAGTCACAAAAGCTTTAAGTCGAAATTTAAAGAGCTTTGTAGCTCATCGGGATTTTCTACTGCGGTGACGTCACGTAAACACAGAACCCCGCGATTCGATTCCCTTATCGATTCATAAAAACACCAGCAGCGGTTCTCATTGCCGCTGGAGCGACGGATTCGATTCCACTACGACTCCCGGAATCGATCCTCGCCGGGCCCACGCCCACGCGAGTGACGTGGCGTCGATTCCTGCCCACCAGGAAGCGGGGCCGCGAATGGTGTTTAGTTGGAATCGGATTCGCGTGGAATCGATTCCGTGGAGACAACCCAGGGTGTTACGGGTCTCAGAGTCTCCGTGTCCCCGTGTCTCCGTGTCTCAGTGTCTCAGGGTCCCTGTGTCTCAGGGTCTCAGGGTCCCCGTGTCTCAGTATCTCAGTGTCTCAGGGTCTCAGGGTCCCTGTGTCTCAGTGTCTCAGGGTCCCCGTGTCTCAGGGTCCCCGTGTCTCAGTGTCCCTGTGTCTCAGTGTCTCAGGGTCCCCGTGTCTCAGGGTCTCAGGGGTCCCGTGTCTCAGTGTCTCAGGGTCTCAGGAGTCCCGTGTCTCAGTGTCTCCCAGTGTCCCCGTGTCTCAGTGTCCCCGTGTCTCTCAGTGTCCCCGTGTCTCCCACTGTCCCCGTGTCCCCGAGTCTCCGTGTCCCCGTGTCTCAGTGTCTCCGTGTCCCCGTGTCTCCGTGTCTCCGTGTCTCAGTGTCCCCGTGTCTCAGTGTCCCCGTGTCCCCGAGTCTCCGTGTCCCCGTGTCTCCGTGTCCCCGTGTCTCAGTGTCCCCGTGTCTCCCAGTGTCTCAGTGTCCCCGTGTCTCAGGGTCCCCGTGTCTCAGTGTCTCCGTGTCTCAGTGTCCCAGTGTCTCAGTGTCCCCGTGTCTCAGTGTCCCCGTGTCTCAGTGTCTCCGTGTCTCCCAGTGTCCCCGTGTCTCCCAGTGTCCCCGTGTCTCCCAGTGTCCCCGTGTCTCCGTGTCCCCGTGTCTCAGGGTCCCCGTGTCTCAGTGTCTCCGTGTCTCAGTGTCCCCGTGTCTCAGTGTCCCCGTGTCTCACGTTGGGCCTCATCTGGTGCGATATCAACAAAGTTTATATTTGTTTAGAGTTCAGTTCAAGTTCCTCCACGCAGCTCCAAGGATCTTCAAAGTCTCTGGCTCCCTCACTGGCGCCGGGTGAGTCAGTGTGTGTGAGTGTGTCAGTGTGTGTTAGTGTGAGTGTGTCAGTGTGTGTGTTAGTGTGTGTGTTAGTGTGTGAGTGTGTGTGTCAGTGTGTGTGTCAGTGTGTGTTAGTGTGTGTGTCAGTCTGTGTGTGTTAGTGTGTGTGTGTTAGTGTGTGTCAGTGTGTGTGTGTATGTGTCAGTGTGTGTCAGTGTGAGTGTGTCAGTGTGTGTTAGTGTGTGTGTGTGAGTGTGTGTGTGTCAGTGTGTATGTGTCAGTGTGTGAGTGTGTGTTAGAGCGTGTGTGTTAGTGTGCGAGTCAGTGTGTCAGTGTGTGTGTGTGAGTGTGTGTCAGTGTGTGTTAGTGTGTGTGTGTGCGTGTGTGTTAGTGTGTGTGTGTCAGTGTGTGTTAGTGTGTGTGTTAGTGTGTGTGTCAGTCTGTGTGTGTTAGTGTGTGTCAGTGTGTGTTAGTGTGTTAGTGTGTGTGAGTGTGTGTGTCAGTGTGTGTTAGTGTTAGTGTGTGAGTGTGTGTGAGTGTGTATGTGTCAGTGTGTGTCAGTGTGAGTGTGTCAGTGTGTGTTAGTGTGTGTGTGTTAGTGTGTGAGTGTGTCAGTGTGTGTGTCAGTGTGTGTCAGTGTGTGTGTCAGTGTGTGTTAGTGTGTGTGTGAGTGTGTATGTGTCAGTGTGTGTTAGTGTGTGAGTGTGTGTTAGAGCGTGTGTGTTAGTGTGTGAGTGTGTGTGTGTCAGTGTTTGTCAGTCTGTGTGTGTCATTGTGAGTGTCAGTGTGTGTTAGTGTGTGTGTGTCAGTGTGTGTTAGAGCGTGTGTGTGAGTCAGTGTGTGTGTCAGTGTGAGTGTGTCAGTGTGTGTCAGTGTGAGTGTTTGTCAGTCTGTGTGTGTCATTGTGAGTGTCAGTGTGTGTTAGTGTGTGTGTGTCAGTGTGTGAGTGTGTGTTAGAGCGTGTGTGTTAGTGTGTGAGTGTGTGTCCGTGTGTGTGTCAGTGTGTGTGTTAGTGTGTGTGTGTCAGTGTGAGTGTTTGTCAGTCTGTGTGTGAGTGTCATTGTGAGTGTCAGTGTGTGTGTGTGTCAGTGTGTGTGTGTCAGTCTGTGTGTGAGTGTCAGTGTGAGTGTTTGTCAGTCTGTGTGTGAGTGTCATTGTGAGTGTCAGTGTGTGTGTGTCAGTGTGTGTGTGTCTGGCAAAACAACCTCCCCGTGGTGCCGGACGGGCAACGCTGTCGTGGACAGTGCTGTGGGGCGAGGGCCAATTCCAATTGGGCTTTACCCTCTGGGCGTTTGTAGCCACCAGAGCGGCTAAACGGGGGCTCTGGACGGGTGCGATGGGCTGGTAACCCCTCCACCTTCAATAAATTACCACTAAACCACGTCGAAAATATCTAACTAATAGGCTTGTGCCGGAGGCCCCGGGGGGACAGGCGTCTATGACGTCTCCTGGCCAAACTCCAGGAGATGTCATTGAATCTTTACCCTCGGGGCTCCTCCAGAAACAACAAAAAAAGCCACTACGTGTGGCCAAGTGGAATGTTCGAACGCTCACTGCGGAAGAGAGGCTGCCACTCCTCTGTCGGGAGCTGGACCGGTACCGCCTGGATCTCTGTGGCATTCAGGAGGTCCGGTTGACCGGTTCTGGCTCCTGCCACCATGAGGGGTGGACAGTCCTCTACTCGGGGCAGGAGACTGCCAAACAACAGGGTGTGGCTCTTCTTCTAAACAAAATAATAGAGGGGTGTGAGAGCGTGGCGGTGAGGTGTGGGAAGCTGTAAGCCCCAAGCTACTTTGGGCTCGCCTTCCCATCAACCGGAGGCGAGGAATGGTGGTCGTGGTTACGTATGCCCCCACCGAAGACGAACATCCGTGGAGGAATGCAGGCAAGGCCGATGAGTCAGATGCCTTCTATGACCTGTCACAGGTGCTGGCTAAAGTGGCCCCTCGGGATAGAGTCATCTTGTTGGGTGACTTCAATGCACGAGTTGGTCATGATGCTGGCACCTGGTCTGGAGTGATTGGAAGGCATGGGCCAGATCAGCTCAATAACAACGGTGGGAGGCTGCTAGATTTTTGTGCAGCCCATGAGCTTGTAATTACCAACACGCTGTTCCGGCATCGGCGCATCCACACAACATCATGGATGCATGCCGGGTCCAAGCAAGAACATCTGCTGGACTACATAGTGACGGACCAGCGGATGCGAGCCCATTTCCTTGACACGAGGTCCTACCGTGGAGCTGATCTGCCCTCTGACCATTGACTTGTCATATGTAAGATGCGCCTGCCATTCTTCCAGTCCAGTGGTGGGTGTACACCCAGGACCCCATTCCAACCTAAGGTGGCCTGGTCTCAGCTAGCTGATGGAAGTTGAAAGCGAGAATTTCATCATCGCTTGCGGCTGGGGTGCGACAGGGATGTCCTCTGGCTCCAGCATTATTTAACATCTATTTCCACCACGTAGTTCGTGAAGCCTTCAATAGCTGTACCGGGGGAATCTCCATATGGTACAGATATAATGGGAGGCTGATCGATGCCCGGGTACGGTCAAGGGATGGCTCCCTATTGCTCAACCACGCTATGTATGCCGACGACCTGGTAATTGCGGCTCACTCAGAGGAGGAGTTGGAGACGCTGCTGCTGAGACTGGAGTGTGCCACTAAGAGGTGGGGCCTTACCATCAGCCCCACCAAGACAAAGCACCTGCCTGGGTATTTTGTACCATCGGGCACTCCACCCCCACAGCTCCCAATTGGTGATGGGGCAGTTGTGGAGAGAGTGGAGAGTTTCCCATACCTGGGCAGTGTGCTCATGACCGGCTCCGGTTTAACAGCAGAGGTCTCACTCCGAATCAGTCGAGCGGCATTATCTTTTCATCGGTTGCATAACGCTGTGTGGAAGCTACCTGGTCTGTCGCTCCGCACTAAGCTTCAGGTCTTTTCGGCCACAGTCATTCCCTCCTTCTCTACGCTTGCGAAACGTGGACCCCCCTAATGGAACATCTTCGCCCGTTAGAAACATCTAGGCTGGCCTGCCTACAATCAATCCTGGGTTTAACCAGGCTGAATTGTGTGAGGAGCTCACAAATCCTTGAAATATCTGGGCACGGTCCCATCGGTGAGCTCGTCCGGTAGGCAAGGCTGCGTTGGCTGGGTCATGTAGCCCGCATTCCCAGCCACCGCATGCCGAAACAGCTTTTGTCCGGCCAGATCGAGGGGGCTAAACGGGCCTGGCACGGGCTAGACATGAGATAGAGTGATGTGGTACAGGAGGATATGGAGCTGAGTGGACTTGCCGATGACTGGTATCAGCGGTGTCAAGATCGGCCTCTGTGGAGGAGGCTCGTGAAGGACGCTACTGGGCAGTTGGAGACAGTCGCCCTCTAACAACAACAGAGGGCGGAGGAGCGACGCTCACAACAACGAGCGGAGCGCTGGGTGGCTAAAGCACAGCAGGTTGGCACAGTAGGGGGCACAGGTGGTGCATCAGCCAGTCATCTCAGTCATCTCAGTCAGTCGACCCGTGGCACCTGCTAGGCCATGTGCCTCAAGGTGCACATGGCCTGGCACAAGCGTCGTGGTGACGTCACCGCCACTTCGTGGCGAATGGCGGTTGTTGTTGTTGTGTCAGTCTGTATGTCAGTCTGTTTGTGACAGTCTGTGTGTGTGTGTGTCTGTCTGTGTGTATATGTCTGTGTGTGTGTGAGGAGTGGTGGGTGTAGTGGTTAGCGCTGCGCTGCGCTACGAACCAGGCGACCCGGGTTCGATTCCCGCTCACGGCCACCAACACCACCGGTGACGATTATCTGAGCCGGTACCCTGAGCCTCCCCTAGGTCGACTCAGCCTCAAACGAGTAGCTGGTGTGGCGGTGTGTAGTGAACATCGCCACTGGGGGAGACAAAGGCGGCCGGGCGCGGTTGCTGGCCACCCCCATCCCCTCGTGTGCTGCTACTCGCAGCACTTGCCCCGACAGTCCGTAACAGGTTTTATGGGCGACTTTTGTCTGTGTTGTGTGCGTGTCTCTTGTGAGGCCATACCGCTTGCGCCGAGGTCGGGACGGCAACCCCCTGGGGCCAAACGCGAGGACAGTGGGTGCCAGAAACCAGGGCACTAGTGTCACCTGAAACGACGTGGACACTTAGACACGCGTAGCAGACACTTATAGACTAACAGGGACACTTAGAGACCCACAGAGACACTTAGAGACCCACAGAGACACTTAGAGACTCGCAGGGATACATAGAGACTCACAGAGACACTTAGAGACTCACAGAGACTCACAGAGACACTTAGAGACTCATAGAGTCACTTAGAGACCCACAGAGACACTTAGAGACTCACAGAGACATTTAGAGAGTCACAGAGACATTTAGAGAGTCACAGAGACACTTAGAGACCCACAGAGACACTTAGAGACCCATATAGACACTTAGAGACTCACAGAGACACTTAGAGACCCACAGATACACTTAGAGACCCACAGAGACACTTAGAGACTCATAGAGACACATAGAGACTCACAGAGACACTTAGAGACTCACAGAGACACTTAGAGACTCACAGAGACACTTAGAGACTCATAGAGACACTTAGAGACTCATAGAGACACTTAGAGACTCATAGAGACACTTAGAGACTCATAGAGACACTTAGAGACTCATAGAGACACTTGGAGACTCATAGAGACACTTAGAGAGTCATAGAGACACTTATAGACTCACAGAGACACTTAGAGACCCATAGAGACACTTAGAGACTCATAGAGACACTTAGAGACTCACAGAGACACTTAGAGACTCACAGAGACACTTAGAGACCCATAGAGACACTTAGAGACCCATATAGACACATAGAGACTCATAGAGACACTTAGAGACCCATAGAGACACTTAGAGACTCATAGAGACACTTAGAGACTCACATAGACACTTAGAGACTCATAGAGATACTTAGAGAGTCATAGAGACACTTAGAGACCCATAGAGACTCATAGAGACACTTAGAGACTCATAGAGA